TGGGGGTAATGTGAGTGTTGTGGGGGTAATATGGGATAATGTGGGATAATGTGGGTATGACGGGGGATAATGTGGGGGGGGTAATGTGGTTAATGTAGGGTAATTCGGGGTAATATTGAAAAGCAGGGATACAAAGAGATAAGTGGATACTAGGGTGAACGCTCAAGTAATTACCAAAGAGGTAGGGGCGATGATTTTGAGATAGAGGGCAGGGGCATCATTTCGGATTTTTTTTCCTGGAGGCGCCACAGTACACAGCAAAGTAAATAAAACCTGCGAATTCATGGTGGCTGGGGTTCGAGTGTTATATTCGAGAAAATAAGAGAAATGAGACTTAACAATGTTTAATGAATCAATGAAATACGTTCATTACGGTGTCGAAATTGCGTCGAAGTTTCCTTATATTTGTGACAAAATATTTCACTCATTTCCTTTGACTGATTCATCTTTAAAACGCCTGAAGCGTTTCTAAAAAAAAAATTCTTTTTTTTTTTAAAGGAGACACTTTGGCAAACATCTTTTACGTCAGTCTCTAGCGGGGAAGTCTCAACTCGGGGCGCTGAGAATAAACTTAGCCACAGGGGGCAGGGGATCGATAGAAAATCTATTTTGGGAGGGACAGGATCCAAATGGGGGATTTTCTGGCGTTAGCTCGCCTTTCAACAGGGTTTATTACCAAACACCGTATGTCGCACTATCTCTCTCTGTCTAAGACACAATCATTCTTTGTCTCTCTCTGTCGGTCTGTCTGTCTCTCTCTCTCTCTCTGTCTCTCTACCTCTCTTTCTCTTTCGTTCTCTACACCTCTCTTTCTCTTTCTTTCACCCTCTTTCTCTCTCTCATTCTCTCTCTAAACCTCTTTCTCTCTCTCTCTATTACTCTCTCTCTCTCTATTTCTCTCTCTCTTTCTCTATATCCCCCTGTCTCTCTCTCTTTACATATATATATATATATATATATATATATATATATATATATATATATATATATATATATATATATATATATATATTATATTTTTTGTTTGTTTTTTTTTTTTGTCTGAAATAGTTGGTGAAATAAATCTGCGGTGTAAAAGTAAGTGGGTCATT